AGGGTACGTAGTCGCTAGGAATGCGCGTGATTCGAGGGCATATGGGTCGTAGTCAGGAATGGAGGTTTGGGCCCAGTGCAAGCAGTGTGTGGGGGCAATGAGGAGTCGTGGGGCATCGGCCTTGTGAGTTTCCTCCGAGCTGAGGAGAGTGGTAGGGGGAGGCCTATGCAGCCAATGGGTGGCATCGATGTGTTGGAGTATGGCCGTTCAGTACTGCTGGGCAGTGGTGAGGAGCTCGAGTGTGTTGCCAGTGGTGAAGAAACCGACGTGGAGAGGAGTGGGGTTGCCAGTAGCTAGTTTTCCCCAGTGGGGGGTGGAGGCGTGGTGGATGGAGGAGATGTGGCGAAGTGAGAGCTGGCGCGGGGGTATGGTGAGAAGCCATGTTGTTTGGAGCTGCTCAGCCGTTTTATGGCCGCGTGAGCCATCGGGAACGACAAACCAGTAGGTGGCCGGCGTGTGGTGAGCGGTAGCGTCACGTATTGCCGTGGTAAGCAGGCGCCACCAAGTGGAGGGGTAGGGGTTGTGAGTGGCATCGATCCACCAGTGGTGGTTAGTCGGTGGACGGGGGATAATGCAGTGGGGGGAGCGTCCAAGTGGTCCTTGAAATGTAGCGCCATTGGGTCCGCCCATCCATTGTCCAAACCAGAAGTCGCGTGGTGCAAGGAGGGGGGTGGATCGTAGAGCTGTGTGGTAGAGCCAGCGCGGTAGTAGGAGGCCCGGCTTGGGGCACTGGTGAGATTCCCAGGATAGTTGGGAGGCAGCGAGCATGAGAGATTCGGGTTGGGGGGGGGGGCAGTAAGCGTTGCATGTGGAGGGCATGGACACAGCGTTGCGCGGTAAGGGGAATCATGCAGGTGCCCGTGTTGGGGGAGGGTTTGCCGCCACGGCTTTTCCATTGCGGGCGTTTCGGTCCTGGCATGATGTGCGCGGTTGCTGTGCTATGTCCAGGTAGGTAGATATCTTGTTCAGGGAGCCAGGCATTAGGGAGGACCGCTTGTGTGGCGAGGAGAATTTGTTGGGAGAGTGGGACCGACATTGGGCATATAGGGTGGGAGAGGCCGAATCGGTGTTCCTGCGTGTCGAGGGAAGCGGGCATGTGCGACAGTGTGGCTCCCAGCTTGGGTATATGCGGTGTTTGCGGGCGTTGGTGTGTAAGGTGTAGCAGATTGCACGCCAGTAGAAATTGAGCGCAGGGAGGTCCCATTTACAAAGGTCCCCTGTGGGGATGCGGAGGGGCTGGATGGTCTGGCGGGTGTCCGGTTTCCGGGCTTGGGCCTTGGGCCAATCTCTCCGGCCGTAGACTGCGCCCAGCCATGGGGCCGTTGCGCCCCTGACCGGCCTGTCGTGGTCGTCTCGAAGCTCCCAGTAGTCTGGGTTAATGAGGTGCGCATAGTTCGTGAGTGGCAGGAGCTGGTGTGCTAGGGTGGCGAGGGAGTCCGCCTCGGCGAGGAGTGTGCGCTTGGTTCGGAGGATTGGGTTGGCCGTGTCCGCGGGGTCCTGGTGAGAGCGGATCCATTCGCCGGTAAAGGTTCCAGTATCGGTGAAGAGAGCCATGAGCGAGCGAAGTTCCACCCTGTATATGTTGCTGTAGCGGGGGAGCCCACCGCGGCGTTGAAGGGATCTAGCCAGGACGACCAGTCCAATTTGTGTTGTCGCATATTTGTAGTGCAGCATCTCCAGAATGATGGAGGCCCACCAGGAGGCTATATAGTTCGCAACGCGTGGGTGTGATGTGATTAGCGTGAACCCGTAATGTCCCCACGAGGGTTGTACCGTCGCGGCCCATGTAGCTCCATATTCCTTGTGTGGCTGGGGTGCCCTGGTGCGTGACGCTGCCATCACCAACAGCATAAGTGCGAGCAGCCCGTAGGGGGAGGGTGTGGAGGCCGTACGTCGGGGTAGTGTGGTGTAGAACAACTCGGCAGTGTGGGATGCATGCCGAGTGATGCCATTGGCCACAGTCGGGACATAAAAGAGTGTCCGCTAGGCGGTGGCATGCGGTACAGGTCGGCATTGCATGCTGGGCCGGCTGGTGCCCTGTAGGGCTCGGGGTACGGTCGGTGGTGCCTCCCGCTGTGGAGGCAATGAGGGAGCGGTTATTTTCCCCGCTGTGGGTGATATGTGTACGTGGGTCGGTCCATGACGTGTCAGTCCAGGGAATAAACTTGTGGTGTTGAGCGCGGCTGGTGGGTAGGAGGTTGCCAATAAGGATTGCACAGTCGGTAATGGATACCAGTCTGTGGCGGCCGCGCGCTTCACGCGGTGTTGGGGAGTACCAGATGTCGGAGTCCTTGCGGAGTTCGTCCCAGAAGGTGACGGCAATCTCCGTGCCCGCGGGTGATTGCCGGGTTTGGAGACTATTGCGCCGTCCGATGCGGTAGCTGAGGGTGGGGGGTTGTCCATCCTGATGGGTGAGGTGGTGAGGGATGACTAGCATGGCGTGGACAGGGATGTGGATGGTTTCGTAGCCCGGGGCGGGGACAAAGAAGGTACGGCCGAGAGGGTGAGTAAGGTATGGTAGGGAGGAATGGAGCGGTGGTGGCAGAGGGAGAGGTAGTGGTTGGCCGGCGGGGCGGGGGGCCCACTGTAGTGTTTGTTGCCTGAGGGCCGGTAGAGGGGTGGGTGGTACAGCTGTCGGGATGGCGTCCCAGATGGGAGCAAACCGTTGGAGCGTGTGCCTGGACCACCCAAATTTGGTACGGAGAGACTCAAGGCTAAGTAGCATGGTGCCCTTGTCATTGGTAATGTCGCCCACCCAGCGGACCTTTGTTGTATGGAGCCTGTTAATCGATATGAGGGTCGTGGCCAGGGCTGGGGTGAGGTAGGCCCAGATGGTGCGGTCGTTGGGACGCCGTGGTAAGCTGGCTGCGGGTTGCTGCCAGTGCGTGGTAATGGTGAGGGCTGGCTGGAAGGTGGCAAGGTCCCGAAGCATTGTGCCGAGTATAGTGGTGTCCGCGACAGGAGGGGGTATGCGGAAAGCTAGGGGGTGGTCGGTGAGGCCACTGTCGAGTTGGTATGCCTCAAGGGATTCCATGAGAATGTCATGAGTAGGGGAGCCACTGTCGTTGGCAATCCGGAGGAAGTGATAGAGGCGTTGACTGTGGCTGAATCGTTCACAGTGGACGAGGCCCAGGCCATCAATGGGGTCATAGAACCATTCGGTGGGGTGGTCGTGGGGTAGCTTGAGGACACGGCGCGCCGTCTTACGGAACAGGGTGTCCAGGGCGGGGGCAATACTAATGGCGTCACTGATAGCTGTGCGGTAGAGGACACTAGGGATCCACACCGAGTTAACAATGTACTGGAGCTCTTTATTCCCGAGCCCACGGGGGGCAACAGCATCAACTTGGGTGTTGAGCCGTTGCCACACAGCACGAGTGGTCTCTTCCCATTGGTTGTCTGTGCCTTGGTGTATACCGAGATGTCGGAACCCCTCGGAGGGTGCGACCACTCGCATGGGTTGTGGAATGCCGAGCCCATCGTTGAGGGCAATGGCCGGGTGTGCACGTGGAGATAGGTAGAGGAGGAAGGATTTGTCTGCACCAAAAACACCGCCAGATGCGGATTGGCCCGTGAAGTAGTTGGAGATTCGGGCCCGGTCTTGTATGCCGGCATAGGAGGTCGAAATGTCGAGGGCGTCATTCACAAAGAGTAGACTGGCGATGGTGCGGGTCCGGGTTCCCTGTGAGTGTTGGCTGTGTATGATGTGGACAGGGTCGATGCCACTGTGTTGCTGGCGGAGGAGGATGTCCATATAGTATCCGATGTGCATGACAGCTAGGATGGAGCCTTGGCCTAGGCCAAATTCCCGTATGCCGCCGTCCAGCCAGCCGAAGGCTGTGCGAATATCGATTTGGCTAGCACCAAGGAAATGGGCCATGAGTTTGCGCGGTAGGGGTGGGACGCCGAGCTTGCGGTATATGTATTCCATGACCCAGCCTGGGATTTGGTCGAAGCATTTTAGACAGTCTTTGGAGATGAGGAAGAGTTCTTCCTGCCGTCGTTCGGCCCTTTCGATGAGGAGCAAGGTGAGGACCGCCGCGTCCTGAACCGTGCGGTCGCGTTGGAATCCATGCTGCATTTCATGGTTGGGAATACATGGGGTGATATAATCCCGGATAACGGTAAAGATGCGGCTGCTGAGGGCGCTTTGGACGGTGATGGGGCGCCAGGGTGGTAGGCCAGGGTCTAGATTGACGACCCCATGGGCTGTGTCCGATTTGGCAAGGTATATCATCTGTTTCCGTCCTAGGATCGGCGGGACGAGGCCTGTGCGGAGGATAAGATTGATGATCACCCGTTCCTGTTCGCGTATGCACGTAGGGGCAGCGATCCAGAGTTCCTGGGAGACGCCCCCAAAACCTGGGGAGACACGTGTCCGGAGGCTGCGGTCGCAGCGGGCTTGCATGTCCTCATCATAATGGTAGGTGTCCCAAGTGGTGCCCTCAGTGGACTGAAAAACGCATGCAACTTCATCGGGGCGATCCATGTCATGGAGGAGCCAGTCCCGAACAAAGTGGGGAACTTGGTGGCGGTCGGCCTCAAGGCCGGTGTCAAGGTGTCGGGGTCGCGTTGTTTTCTCGGCCGGGGGGATCCAGTTGTCCAGAAGGTGGCGGAGACCCGCGGCAACTTCGTCACGGTCGGAGCTGTACCTCGGGGGGGTCCATCGGCTGGGCGGACAATAACGCTCTGGATGGATATTGGCGGTACGGTAGAACCAAGGGCCGAGCGGAGGAATTTATGGGTTTGGCGGCTGTTAAACCATGCCGTACGTTGTTGTACCCTCGTTTGTCGGAGACTGGTAGTACGCCAGTCCCGACGTTTGCGGCACACATTGGTCCAGCGTGTGAGACCCTGTCGGAGCCAGTGGTCCCAGTCGTGGGCTGGGTCTTGTGGGGTAGGCATTGTGGTCCACCATTCGCCAACCGCGATGGCTCCAACGCGGTGCCAGCATGAGGTGGGGAGCAGGTTGGGGTTACGTATCCACTTGGGCCATTCTACTAGGTGGGCAAGTCGGGTGTATTCTGTGCCAGTTCGTGGAGCCGCCTCATGTAGGCGTAGAAGATGTCGTAGCTGTGCAGTGCATCGGTTAGTGCGCTGTATCGCAACTGCCCGGTTGAGGGCTTTCCTGGTTTGGCTAGTTTCCCCCCATTTTAGTTTCGCGCTGGTGTAGAGTATGTCATACAGGTTGCTGATGGCGCTGTCAAGCCAGTCCTCGATTTCTTGGGGGGACCACGTTGTGGCGGCGGTAGAGGGGGGCGCGGGGGTGAGTTGGGGGAGCTGACCTGTCATGAGAAGTTGGGATGTGTGTGCGCCGAAGGAATCAATTTCCGCCTTGGCAAGGGTGCGGGTGTTGACGGCGCGTATGGGTCGGACTCCAGTAAGCCGGGAGGGGGTATGATCGCCGGGGCAAACGTCCAGAGCCATGTATGGAGTGCCTGCATGATCACTGGAGTTGATGGTGTGCAGCCAGATGCCACTAGCTCCCACTTTGTGGGCTGTTCGGGCCGAGATGTAGATATCGTCGAGAGTAACGGCTGTGTTGTTGCGGGCGTAGGTGTGCCTTTGGAGGGTAGGGTGGCGGTGCCGGAAGGTGGAGATGAGTCCCAAGCGTTGCGTCCATTGCTGGAAAGCAATGCCGATGTCGTTGTTGGCGCCAGTGCGTGGCGTTGGGGCTGACCGGTCGAGGGGGTTGGGCCCATAGGTGTTGAAGTCAACCTCCCATGATCACATAGTGATGTGGACCTGTGACGCGGGTAGCTGCCTAGCTGCCTGTGCTAGCCATTGCCATTCACGGTCCGTGTCCTCCTTGTGGGCTGCGGGATTGTCTTGAAAATACGTGCCGAGTAGTGTAACGAGAGTGCCTTTCCCAAGGCGGATAGTGATAGCTAGACTACGCCCTGATGGGGAGTATGTGGTGGAGCGGGCGTCGATGCGGGAGTGCCAGCGTTGTATGTCATAGAGTAGACTCACTCGGTGGTTGCTGATGGCCATGAGGCTTGGTGTATGTGCACC